GATGCTACCTGTCTGTCCTACACAGTAGCTGTTACAATCCTTACACTGTATTTTGTAGATGACTTTTATGTTTTCTTTTGGGGCAGAAAATGCCCTACTCAACGACACCACAGTTCAGCCCTCAGCTTCATAAATCCTCTTAAACCCTTCATGAGTACCACTGACCACATACATTCTTAAATTCTAAGTAGGCCCAGAAATGATGTCTCAGTATGTTGTCCTTGTTCCTAAATGTCATGTAATAATATAACATCATGATTAAATGAAATAAAACATTTCTCTCTTTCTCTCTTACAGACTAAAGTGTTTGGCAGAGACAGGGTGAAGTTTATAGAAAGTCTAGTAGTTGGGGATATTGCAGAGCTGAAACCTGATCAGGTACAATGGAACCAAGTAGATCTCTTGGAATATCCAGTCAATAGGATGGCAGATTTGGCATTGAGATATCCAAGATCAAACCCATGCTTAGTTAGTTGATGCTTGACAAATCTGGATGATCGGTAACCAATTCTGATCACCACATTTTATGAAGAACATAGACAACCTGGTGCATAGTCAGATAATGACCTGAATGGAAGTCCTAAAAGGAATGGTTGAAAAAACTGGATATAATTTAACAGTGAAAAGAATATTAGCTTAAGATACAAGTTTTCAACTATCTAAAGGACCATCGTAATTTCTGCTGCTCTAGAGATCAGAAAATGTAGAACAATGTGTGGAAACTAGAAATCAGACTGTGGCAAAATTAGAAACTCTTAATAGCAGTGAACTCCACAAAAGTGGAATAACCTGATAATGAATATTTAAGCAGAAGATGGATTGCTATAATTGAAACCTCCATTATAGATTCTGCACTGAAGATATTAAATTAACTATTTCCACTATATTACATAATTATGGTTCTCTATTTTTAAAGATATGAATAACTTAGGCTGACTTCAACATCTAAAACCAATGTCTTGAAAAATACAAAAGGGCCTTGCATTTGAAGAGTTTTGACCTTTTTACTTAACAAATTTAATTCATGCCTTAAACAATGGAACAGTAAACATATATTTGTGAAATATTTAACACAAGATACCATGTCATGATGTTAAGAAATAAACACTATGCATAGCTTATACAGAACTTTAACTCTTAATGGAATCTCATGTCATATTGCAGGATTAAGGGATATGTATCTAATGGATTGGGGTAGGGGATGCACTTGTGGATACCAGCTTGATGCTTATTTAAGCCTTTGTATCCAGCTCTCAGCTTCAGCATCTCTTTCTTGAAAACTGATCTCTGAGACCAGTAATGGAATTGGCTGAATTTAGCTTTCCTTTCAGGGCACACTCTCTCTGTTCACAAATGAGAAGGGCGGCATTATAGATGATTTGATTGTGACCAACACCTCAGACCAGCACTTATACGTGGTCTCTAATGCCGGTTGCATGGATAAAGATTTTGCCCTCATGGAGGTATGTTTCTCATTACCCTTCATTCCTAGAGGAAGTAGAAGAAACTGAAATAAGAAGAATAAAATTCTGTTACAGAAATAGAATAGACTAGGAAGAGAGGATGCACATCATCCTCTATGTGTATCTTGATCTTACTATTTTCTCCATTTTCTCCATATTGTAGAACAAGATGAAGGAAATGAAAGCAGCTGGCCATGATGTACACTTGGAGGTGTCAGACAATGCTTTGCTTGCTTTGCAAGGTAAATAAAAAAAATTTAGAACTGCCATTAGGAATCTGAGAAGCACCTTATGCCAATATTACTTCAACCATTCACCTTGAAAGAAGGTGAATTCCTAGAGCGCCAGCCATTTGGACAAGATGAAATAGGAGATGCAATATTGTATTTTATGTGGAACTGAATTTCTTCATTAAACTTTGGTGAAGTTCCAGAACTACTTAAACTACATGCTGGTCTTTGTTTCCTGTTTTTTTGTTTTTTCTGCTACCAGGTCCTGCTATGGCCCGTGTGCTGCAACCTGGGGTGGCAGATGATCTGGCTAAGTTACCCTTCATGAGCAGTGCGATGATGGCTGTATTTGGAGTGCAAGGCTGTAGGGTGACACGCTGTGGCTACACAGGCGAGGATGGCGTAGAGGTATCACATTGACAGCTTCTAGATGTGAGCAGGAATAAGGATCTTTGGGGGAAAGGCTTGCAATAGCAGCAGATGGTAAGATGGTATCCAGTTGGACAAGCAGTTTGAGAAAAGACTACCAGTAAATTATTATCCGATCAGAGGAAGGTAATGTGTTGAAAGGGAATAAATAATAAATGTGAATGAAAAAGAAGAGTGCCCGTCAAAACCAGATATTGGGATGATTAAAACACAGGGTGAGAAAATGTTTTGCCAATAAATCACACCAACTAAATAATGTGCACTCTCATGCCTAGATCTCTGTCCCTGCGAATCAAGCTGTGGAGCTGGCCGAGCTGTTGCTTAGGGACCCTTCTGTGTGGTTGGCTGGACTTGCAGCTAGGGATAGCTTGCGACTGGAAGCAGGTCTATGTCTTTATGGGAATGACATTGATGAGAACACAACCCCTGTGGAGGCCAGTCTGGTGTGGACTCTTGGTAAGTACCCAAATCGGATTTTCATTTTCTTTTTGTACCAGCCAAAGCCAAGCTTGAACAAACTGCCCAATGTCCACCCAACCCCAAGCTGATGGGATACAAAACCAAGATTTAATATTGGCAGGAATGTCTATGGAGATTCTCAGTCATCCAGGTCATGGTTGTCCCAAAGGTGTTTTTTCAAGAGGCAACTGGATTTTTTTGGTTTTTATTTGAAGACATTTCACTTCTCATCCAAGAAGCATCCAGGAGCTGAAGAAGCTTCTTGGATGAAAAGCAAAACATCTTCAAAGAAAAACCAGGAAGTCAAGTTGCCTCTTGAAAAAGCACCTTTGGGACTATTAGGGGGCGTGCTTAAGCGCACCAACGTGCCTACCGTCCCTGTCCTATTGTTTCTTTTAGGGTTTCTTTTTTGTTTTATTTTTCTTATATGTATCCATCTCATGTATTCATAACTATGTTTATACTTATACCTGATATCTTAGCTTGACAAAATAAATAAATAAATAAAAATAAAATATTGGCAGGATCTTATACCCAGAGCATAAACGGGGTGGGAATTATACAGGGCAAGTAGTTGCTTCTGAAAGGAGGATCTTCTGATCCACAATAAAAGAGTGAGTGTTATCATGGTGCTGTACTTTTCTGACTTCCTTCCAGGGAAGCGCCGTCGTGTTGCCATGGATTTCCCTGGTGCTTCAACCATTTTGGCCCAAATTAAAGAGAAACCGAAAAAGAAGCGTGTAGGGCTGACTTCTACAGGACCTCCCATCCGACAGCATGTGCCCATTTTTAGCCCAGGGGGCAAGGCAATTGGTAGGTAGTCTGATGGACCTGAAATCTAGATCAGGGGTCTCCAACCTCGGCAACTTTTAAGCCTGGAGGACCTCAACTCCCAGAATTCCCCAGCCAGCTTTGCTCCTGATTTAGATGATGCGATGATGATACTTGTTGCTGTAGTTGATTTCATACAGTGACTGGATTCATGTATCATGCCAAGCCAGGTTTGTATAATAATGTTTCATTGAATATATCACAATCAGCTGGATTCATACAATACAACATACACATCCAAAATTAAATGATACATATTTACACATAGAACGTTGTATAAACTTGTGATGTATAAAACAATTCAAATTTAAAATGTTTTGATCTAAAAACATTGAATTTTGACTTTGAATTGGGCTATTGTTATCTAGTAACAATCTGAACTTGAAATTACCATGCCCTGTTTGCTTGTTCTTAATTGCTACCCAAAGCACCATTTTTGTTCGTTGCTCTTTGTTAATCTTTCTCGGTAGAGACCGTAAGCCCTGTAATCTGCTGATTCTGCTTCTAACTATGCTGGTTGAAATTTGTGGGAATTATTCCAGCACATCTGGAAGGCACTATGCAAGGGAAACAATTTAATGGGTACTGGGGGAGGATAGTGTGAAAATCTGAGAACTCTTTGTTTCCTGTTGTTTCTGTTATGTGTAGAAATTGTATGCTCCCTATTGAGCAATGCTCTGGCTGTTTCTCTTTGCACTAGGTGAAGTTACTAGTGGCTGCCCCTCACCATGCCTGCAGAAGAATATTGCTATGGGCTATGTGGACAGTGAATACAGCAAACTGAACACATCCCTCACTGTAGAGGTGAGGAAGAAGAACTACCCATCTCTTGTGACCAAAACGCCCTTTACACCTACCCATTACTACACCATAAAATAAGCTGCCGCCAGCAGATATTTTTAATTTTATATCACATTGTATTAAAAGACAAAGAGATATTTGACTCTGTGAGGAGTCTGCTACTAAAGACAAATTGAGCCCAGAGAAGACTGTATCAGTCTATGATTGATCACTGCAGTGTGAGGTGAAATATTTGAGATCCGATAAGCAGAAAAGTAACTTGGTTTTATTCCTCTCATCTGCTCAGTAGCTTAAGTTGCTGTCATGAGTCATTTAGCTCAGATCATGCACATACAGTTGAATCTAGGCTACATTCTGGGGATTGGTTAGGCACATTGGAATTTGGGAAGCATATTCTGGGCAGACTTACAAAATTGGAGCGCATGGTGAGCAACAAAATTCTAATTTAGCAGAAGGAAAACTGAAGAAGATACTCCCCACTTTTGAACTCTCGTCTTCAGGACCCTGCCCTTTGACTCACAGCTGATCAGCTGTCTTTTTCCTAGGTAGATGGACACTAGATTGTAATCCCTCTCTATTTTTATATTCTGAGAATGCCTATGAGCCCCTTGGGATTTAAAAAAAAAATAAATGTCAGGTAGTTAGATACCAAAGATAATGTCAGTAGGCACAGGGATACACTGCAGCAAAAAATCACAGAACTACTTGTGAGCCATTTTTTTTTTTAAAGAAGAGGATTGTTAATTCTTCAACACGTTTTGTGAGAATACGCAGGAGCAGTGATTCGAGCTTAGACAAACCCTCTTTTATTTCTTTGCTTTTTTTTCCTGAGCTGGAGGCTTCAGATAATATCTTGAAATACAGCTCAGGGCACATCTATGAAATTTTCCTGGCAACAATAAAATAGTTTGCTGTTATCTTTGGTAAATGTCATTTTTGCTTTTTGTTTTCTGGCCAGCTCATAGCGCTGGCATTCTCTGGTGGTCTTCCATCTAAGTATTAGACAGGATCAAGTTAGTCTAGTTTTTCCAAGGTCAGCTAAGTGCTACCATCCTCTTTGACAGACAGTTCAGAACTACCTCATTTCTAATTTAATCCATAAAGGCCTCACTTTCTTGAAAGCATATGTGAACCAAAACTATCCAAACAGAAACAGGCTGCGGTATTTACAGAAGCTGATGGGGCAAAAACATTGTTAGCTTCCATTTAAAATTAATATTAGCTCCATGGAGAGAAATTTAGGAGAATATGGAAAAGTGGCACACCTCCCCTTCAATTTTTTAAAAAATTAAAATGTGGATGCTTTTCTGCTCAGTAGGTAGCAGGGCCCTTCACTAATAAAATGCAGTTCACATGCAGTGGCTACAATAACAACCAAGCTACTTTTGTTTTCTTTTAATTACATCTTTATAATCTATATTACAAACTCTGCAATAAGTGGCAGCACATGGCAGAGAAAAGAAAAACTCGGTATTGCATCAGCACCTCTTTGTTCACACAATTATAGAGCAACTTCATCTCAGTCCTTCAAGCCATAAGCACAATGGCTTATGGGTTATGAGCAGAACTATTCTAGAAAGTGTTGAGCTACACAAAGTCATTAGCCCACGCTACCTCCAAACCTGACAGAAGTAGGAAGACATTTTTTTAAAAATGCCCCGGCTAGATTTCTCCAATCCTACCAAATGTAAAGAAGAACTCTGAGAATTCTCGGTGATTGGCCATATACCTTAGGAGTTCTCAAGCTGTGAGCCAATACACTTGGCTACTGCTGACTCAGACTACAGTTTATTGTTAGGCCCCAACTACTCAGAATAAGATGGCAACTGATGATTCATGCTCAACTGGAAAAATGAGCCTGTGTCCTTTCTAAGCAGAAGCTGGCTCAGGGCCACAGGACTTCAAGAACCACAACAGAAAGAAATGAGGTCTCTTTGCCAGCAATTTAATGCTGAGAAAAGATAGGCTGGAGGTCAGTCTGCAGATAGGTTTGTGGCACATAGAAGAACAATGGAAATAACGTAATAGGGGATTGGGGGAGGGGAATTGCAGCTTCCCGAACCTGAGTAAAGCAATCCTGAGATTCAGAGCTTGGCAACTGGACGGATAGGAGCAGTCCTCACAGCACCAGTGATGGCCAGCAACTAAACCATAGCATGGGAGAAATGACAATTTTGATTGCACTTTCCCTTTGCACTGAATCCGCAAGGCCTCTGAGTGGGCAGGCAGGCAGGCAAGCATCCCCATCCTCTGGGCTCCTGGTGCAGCAGGAGCCTGGCTTGGTCACCTCTGCTGTTACTCTCGATGTGTTTTTGTATTTGTGTTGCTTGAGCTCTCCCTAAATTTAAAAAAAGAAAACCATATCAAAACCTTCAAGAAATGCAATCGGTGTTTTTTTTCTGGGCTGATAGCCCCAAACCACGGATGCTATTATAACGATGACCCGTTCAACGAATAAAACAACTCACCACGTAGAAAAGTGTGAAGAGCCATCTGGAGTTTCTCCATTCTGTCCTCCAGCACCTGGAAAGAAGAATAAGAATAAGAATGGGCAGGTAAATCCTTCAGCTCCTATTCTCCTGCTCCTTGGAGGACTCCCGCCTCCCTTTTGTTTTGCAAGGTGTTTACTGAAATGACTTTAAGGATACTAGTACCACAACACTCCGACCCCAAAAGAATATAAATAGTAAAAAGTATGGCCACACAAAACAATTTGTCAGCACACAGTGGAAACTCTCCAATGTTCTCTGGAAGCAACAATACCCAGGAGCAGAAGCTGTCTCTCTTTTCTAGATTTGTGCAGTACCGAACTAGTGTGCTCTCAAGAAAGTGCTAACCCTGAGTTTTTAAACAAAGATCTAGTGTTCTTTCACTAAACCCGTTTTTATAAAGACCACAGAAAAGACCTGGCAAGCACTTTGGAAAGCACAAGTCAGGCATTAGGTGGGGAATGGCTTCTTCCAAAGTCAGGCCTCTCCATTTCCCCTGCAGCCTAGCCATCCAGGTCACACAGGGTCATTCTCAGTAACTGGAGCCTCATGTACACACCCATAGCAGTAGCACCTGATATGAACACTCTATTAAACGGAATAAAACTAGAATAAGGGCAGGTTAAACTAGATAATTAACTACAGCCACAAGCACCAACATTTCACAATAATTCATTGCTAAAATTCCATAGCCCGCTCTGAGCATACTAGGTAAAATATAGATTCTGCAGAGTAGGAGAATGTTCAGCTTTTACAACACGAGGGTAAGAAATACTTTCAGAACTTTTACTCTCTTCCCCCCTCTCCCTCCCCTTGCTATGCCCTCCCAGGATAGGAACATTTTGCTCTGTGATCAACTTCTAGAGTATTTATTCATGGGCACTGTCCTCACAATTGGGGAAGGGGAGTGTTGTTGGAGGAGTTAGGACAAGACTAGCTTCGGTGGAGCTGCACATCCACAAATGTCCATTCAATAACGCTGCAGAATTCAATGGTGCCATGTTTCTGCAGAGTGCAAATTAACCTTAGAAGATGCCTCTTTATCAGAAATGCTTGATCACAAATAGAGGAGGACACTAACACTTGTTGCCCAACCGTTGTGCATACTTTTAACAAATGGCTGGAGGGGAGGGGGGAGAAATTGGTAACAGAACAGGCATTCAGGATGGAGTGAAAAATATGTACTTTAAAAACAACACAGATAGAATAGACTAAGTTTTGGTAACAGAACTGCCCAGCAACTAGTTAAAGACCTTTCAGGAATGGGGCAGAACCCGCTCTTTGATATTGCTTCTCTCCCACCATCACCCTGGTCAACTCTGATGCCAGTGAGGCTGGAACAATTCGCTGTGGCCTGGCAGGTCATTCTGGCCAGGGCTTCACCACACACTCTTTGGGGCCATGGAATGGTAGGTGGGAATGACCTTGGGCAAAGGTTGCTGGAGCCAAGGGAACAGTCAGCATAAAAGGCAACTTAGCCTGCAGCAGCCATGTAGACAGGTCAAGTGGCTTCAGAAGAGACACCCCACTCCCCCAGTTACTTGGGCTGTAATGGAGGTCGGGGAAGAGATATATGTCGAGAGTCGCGCGATTCTGCCCGTGTAAACCTTACAATTTCTTACTCTTTCCTTACTCTTTCGCAAGGCTGCCAGGCAGCGAGTCAAGATCGACCCCTTCCCAGGACCGGGTTCTCCACGCAGGGGGCCACCCTTGGAGGGAGACCCCGGTTGACCTCCCGCCAGCACCACCCAACGGGAGACGGTGGGAGCCCCGGGAGCGCATCGCAGGTGCGCGCAGGGCGGGGGAGGGTGGAGGGTGGCAGGGCAGGGGCTTCTGCGGGCGGCCCTACCTTGCCGGTAGTAGAGGCTGGTGACGGTGTTCCCGTAGACCCGCCAGGCCACCTGGATGCCGAGCAAGCTCACCAGCAGCCAGAGCAGCAGCAGCTGGAAGAGGGCGGCCCGCAAGTCCTGGGCCTCCCAGTCCGACAGGAACTCCTGGCCGAGCCAGGTGAGAGCCCGCAACAGGCGCGTGGGAGCCTCCCACTCCGCGGAAGCGGGGTCGGCCCCTGCCTCAGCCTCCGCCGCCATCACACCCGGCTCGCCGCTCGCACAATGGCGAGACCCACCAGGGCTCAGCGCTGCGCCACAAATCCAAACAAAACTGTCAGCGGCTCCTCACTGCGCATGCGCTCGAGGCAACTTGCAAACCCCTCCCAGCAGAAAGAGTCGGCGTGTATTCTTCTTTTTAGAATACTTGATTGGCCGAGTGTGATTGGACACGCAAGAAATTTGTCTTCGTGTAAATACTCTCAGTATACATAAAAGAAAAGGTACATTCGTCAAGAATCAAGAATCATAACGTACGACACTTCATGATATTCATAGGGTACAATCAACAATCGAATCATACTAGGAAACAGTCAGTATAAATCGTAAGGATACAAGCAACACGCTTGTATCTTACAACGCGCCGGGAGTTCCTTAGGTTAGGAGCGACGGACGGAGCCCAATTGCCGCGCGCAATTCAGAGACCGGCGCAACTGAGCGTGTGATGGGATGGCAACCGAACACAGTTTTCCCGAAGTTTACTTATTTTACTCTTGTCATTCAGAGATGCCCTATATATATTTTACGCAAAGGCTTTTTTTTTTAGTGTCGAGAAGCCGTGGAACTAAGGCAGCCTGTGCCACCTTCAACCAAGAAAAAGGACCCTTATCGGGTTCGTTTGGAGAAACGTTTAAAGAGCAAATTCAGGCGTCGAAGAATTGCATTTTTATAGGAGCAACTTCGGTACCGTTAGTTGCAGGTTGTCAAGAAAACGAAAGCAAGTTTTGAGGGAAGGAAGGAAGGAAAAGAAAGGGATACAGAAAGAAAAAGAAAGAAAGAAAGAAAGAAAGAAAGAAAGAAAGAAAGAAAGAAAGAAAGAAAGAAAGAAAGAAAGAAAGA